GCGGTTCGATTGAGAAAGTCCGGGTCCCTGATAGCTGCGCGAAACGCGGCGGTAAGCTCGCGTTCGGCGCCCACAAAATTCGTGCCATTATCTGAATACATGGCCGAGGGCAGGCCGCGTCGAGCACAAAATCGAGAAAACGCGCCGATAAACGCTGAGGTTGAGTAGCCCTCCACGAGCTCCAAATGAATGGCGCGAGTCGCCATGCAAATAAAAATCGCGATATACGCTTTTCGTGACGGGATTCCGCGACCAGACAAGGATCGTACGAGCACCGGACCAGCGTAATCCAGTCCGCAATTGAGAAAAGCGCGTGCGGGAGGAGTCACCCGCACGCGAGGCAGATCACCCATCTGTTGGAAAGGAATCGTGGCCCTTTCTCGAGTACAAATAACGCAGCGAAAAATAGTGAGTTTGGCGAGACTTCGGGCGCGCAGGACCCAATACTCGCGTCGTAGCGTAGCGAGCGTTAATTGTAGACCTGCGTGTAGAGATTTTAAATGCACGTGATACAGAACCAAAGCGACTAGCGGATGCGAGGCGAGAATAATCGGGTGTTTAACGGAAAAGGAAAGCGGCGCGTGCGAAAGCCGCCCGCCAACACGGATTAATCCATCCTTGCCGAGGAAAGGGTTGAGCGACAGAATCGAGCTTTTCGAGGATATGGCTCGTTGACTTGTGAGCGCAGCGAACTCGAGAGGGAAGAGCTCTTTCTGAATCCGTCTCAGAACAAACTCTTTCGCGAGTTGACATTCGCGGGCTGATAACGCTAGTGTGTTCTCCCTAACGTCGTCAACGGGAATCGACTGCTTCCGAGTTTTATTGATGAAGCGCATTATATACGCTGTTACGCGAATTAACCGAGGCCACGACGAAAATCTCATCGTAAAGTCGCAGTCAAGTTCCGTCGAAGCTAAATGAGACTGAATACTCTCCTTTTGTTCGATTTGAGTATCGAAATTGTGCGATCGAGAAGTCGACGGATCGTCGATCGGGTAACGCAACCATGCGGGGCCGCACCACCAGAGTGGGTGAGTTCGAAGGAGAGACCCGGCGATTCCGCGAGATGCGCAATCTGCGGGATTTTCATCGGTGGGAACGTGGTTCCACACCGCGTTCGGAACGCGCGATTGTATCTCTGATACGCGATTCGCGACGAACGTCTTCCATTTGGCCGGTTGTTGCGTGACCCACGCTAAAACGACAGTTGAGTCTGTCCAGCAATAGCACGGGGAGGTGGCGAGACCAAGAGTGGTTCGCACGAATTCGAGTAGCCGAGCCAACAAACCGGCTGCGCATAATTCCAGCCGAGGAATACTGAGGGACTTGATCGGAGCGACCTTTGACTTGCCTATTAGCAAGTGAGAAGAGATTTCGCCAGAGAGAGAAGTGAGCCGAAGATACACGGCCGCTGCGTATGCGTGAGTGGACGCGTCAGAAAATCCGTGCAATTCGCAGCGGACAGTGTCAGACCCTCGCTGAATCCATCGATTCAGTTGGAGACCGTGGAGATCGGCAAGTGAGGCCTGAAGGGCTTCCCACTTTTGCCGGACGTCAGTCGGAAGGACATCGTCCCAGTTGAGTTTAAGCTGCCACAATTGTTGCATAAAGATCTTGGCAGCGATTGTTACTGGCGTGCACCACCCCATTGGATCAAACAATTTGGCAACGTACGAGAGTATTGACCGCTTGGTTTTTGAAACGGACGGAATATGAGTTACGGTAAATTGAAACATATCGGAAGATGGGCTCCAGCTTATGCCTAAGATTCGTAGATGTTCGTCGATTCGAAGAGTGCGATCGCACGCGAGGCCGTGGTTGTCGACCTCGATATCGTTCAGCAGAGCAGCGGAATTGCTCGACCATTTTCTCAATTCGAACCGTCCCCGACCGAGCAAAGCGCAGACCTGATCGCGAGTTTGTTTGAGAAGCGGAATATCATCGGCACCGAACAGAACATCATCGACGTAGATGTTCTCATGCAGGACCGGCGCGGCAAGAGGAAACGAGCTGCCTTCGTCCGTCACGAGCTGTTGTATAACCCGAAGAGCGAGGAAGGGCGCGCACGCTGTCCCGTAAGTAACCGTGGTCAGTTGATAGGACTGCCCGGTATCTGAGCAGCCGGCGCTCCATAAGATTCGCTGGAAGTCGATGTCACGAGAGTCAACACGGATTTGGCGGTACATCTTCGCGATGTCCGCCGCATATACATACCGGAATTGCCGCCATCGCAAGATCACTGCAGGTAACGCCGTCTGGAGTTTCGGACCTGCATGCAAATGATCGTTTAACGAAGTCGAGTTTGTCGTTCGACTTGACGCGTTAAAAACGACTCTCAATCGCGTAGTGAGACTGCTGTCTCGGATGACAGGATGATGCGGAATATATACGTGCTGAGCGGAAAGAACTGAATCCGGAATTTGACGCATATGACCGAGCGCTTCGTATTCGCGCAAGAAATCGACGTATTCGGATTTTAGAACAGCGTTCGACCGAAATCGTCGGTGAAGACTGGAGAGTGAACGCTCGGCGATAAAACGCGATTCACCAATGTCGATTGGTGGACCGCGCCTGAACGGCAGACGCACGACGTACCGACCGTCAGCATCGCGCGAATGTGTTTGTGCGAAGTGCTGTTCGCACTGTTGTTCTTCTGGGCTGAGAAGCGCGCGACGCGGCACTTCTTCGACTTCCCAGAAACATCTGAGTTCTCGATCGAGAGTATCCGCGCTCGCGCAATGCTGCACGGTAACCGATCGATGCGGCGCACCGGCATCCGACGTGGGGCCTGAGAGGACCCAGCCGAAGATCGTCCGCTGGGCGATCGGTTGTCCGCTCGTTCCTTTCCGAATACCGTCGAGCAATAATTCGGGATAAAGGTCCGCACCGATGATGAGGTCGATAGATTCGGCACTGACGGGAGTCGGATCCGCGAGCGCAAGATCCTGAAGATAGCTCCAATCGCACAGAGAGAATGCCTTTGATGGCGAGTATTTAGTTAAAACTTTGAGTATCGACGCGGTCGTCGTTAACACCGGTGAGTTAGAATTGATCGGAGCGATCTTGACTTGAGCGGCGAAACGACAAGTGCCCGCATCTACGCCGCCGACGGCGGAAATCGAAAGAGGCAATCGAACGCGTTGCAATTTTAAATTTTGAGCGAGACGCTCTGTGATAAAGGTGATTTCTGAGCCTTGATCAAGGAGCGCTCGCACGTTGAGTGTACGACCCGACGGCGAAAAAACAGCAACACGGGCGGTCGCGAGTAGTACATTTTTGCGCGCGGTTACCGTCGAAGTAGAAAATAGTGCCGTTACTGAGTCGTTTTCTTTTTTATCCGACGTCGCGTTTAACACGGTCGTTGAGTTTGGATTGCTAGAAGAAGAGGTCGAGTCAGAATGTAGCATCAAGTGATGTCTATTTTGACAGATTCGACATGAGTATTTGCTCGGGCACGCTTGCACGGCGTGCTTCGAGCTCAAACAATTAATACAGCGATGTGCTGATTTAATGAGTTCAGATCGCTGACTCGGCGTCTTCTTCAAGAATTGCGGGCATTTACTCAAAAAATGCGCAGCTTGACACAAAGGACACGCGAGTTTTGAAACGGTCGCTGACGCGCTTGACACCTTTTGCCCACGCATTTTTTCCGCTTTCGACGGTGACAATTCTTCAAGCGCGCGAACACGCATCTCGAGGAACCGATCGAGAGCTTCGAACAACGGAATTTGCGGGTCCTTACCGGTTTTCAATCGCCATGCCTTCCGAGTAGCATGATCCAATTTTTGCGACACGCAGTGAACGAGAATGTCACTGAGCATCTCCTCGGGCGACCGCTGAAGAGCTCTCAGCGAGGCGATAGCCCGATTCGCTTTGTCGCGAAGTTCGTTGAGTTCGCACGCGGACTCGCGCGTAGCCGTCGGAAGATCGAATAAGGCGGATACGTGCACTTCGACTAATCGGCGCTTATTATCAAAGCGTGAGGCGAGTGTTTTCCACGCGATCTCGAAATTCGTAGCAGTAATCGCAATAGATTTAATGGTATCTAACGCGCGACCAGTAAGGCTTGAGGCTAAAAAATGCATACGCGAAAAGGGAGTGAGATCTTGGTTTTGAATAATAAGCGAAGTAAATCGATCTCGAAAAGATTCCCATTCATCGAGGTTCCCGGAAAAGGGCGGGAGTTTAATCGGCGGTAAATGCGTGAGCGAGAAAGATGAACGATCTATTGTACTCATCGGATGCAGCGGAGACGATGACATCGATGGTGCAGGTTCCAGCTCCTCGAGGCAGTCGGCCATGTAGTCCAGCGTGCCTTCGTAAATCTCCTGGTGACGCTCGAACTCGGCGTCTCGGAAGTAGCTGATGTTAGCTCGTTGCTCTAGTGGGACGATCTGCACGAGGTTGGCGTGTTTGTTCACACAGGTAGTCCAGTTCTCCTTCAAGGTCCCGATCCGTTGCCGAATTTTTGCGGCAGTGTAATTGTTCTTGCCGATCTTCTTAAAATTAGTGAGACTTCGCTCGATAGTTTGCAGCAGAATGATCTGCTGCGCCAGAGGCTCGCTCATGGTAAAGCTCGCTTTGAATTCTCCTTGCTTCGAGGTAGGCGCCTGTCACCGCGCTGCACAGTGGGCCAGAATCCCGAAAACGTGGCCAAAATATGAAGCCATTGTTCGATTTTTGTAAAACTTAGTATATAAATGTTTTCGACGTCGCTAATTACGAATCTGAAGTGCAAATTTCAAAAAACAGCATGGCGGATCCAATATGGCAGATGCATATATTAAAAAATTATAGGAAGTGACTGAAAACTTGATATCGTGGGGTTTTCGACATTGCTGGTCACGAATTTGAAATAGAAATAAATGAAAAGAACATAATAGAAGCAGAATATAGGACTGAAATATGAAAAATCGTATGACTTTGGAAAAACGAAAATATTTATTGTTTTTGGTTCAATGAAGATAAAAAATATATATTTTCAATTATTATTTGTACATTAAAATATTGTAAATAAGTTAAAAAATTTTTACAAACAAAAATCTTCGTCATTTTCAGAATCGCAATTAGCGTCGGATTCATTATCAGTAACTGAAGATTCGCTGTCATAATTAATAGCAATTTGTAAATTATCAGTGCTTGATACAGGGATTGTCGAAGAAGTTAATAATTCAAGAGCTTGTGGTAATAACAATTTAAAAAATTTTCGTGGTTGTTTTCGTATACTTGAAATATACGGATCTGAAGTAATAATCAATCGATTAAAAACATCTTCCATCGTTTTTTCTCTAGAGCATTTTCGCGTAAAATCTTCACGAAATCTTTTAATATCTTTATTACGTGCCTCTTGTGCTTCTTTGGACAATTGTCCAATAGGCAGTAAAAAGTGTTCTATAATTTCCGGGCCGTGAATTAAGAGTTTATAAATAGATGTCGGCATGTAATACCACGGATATAATTTTACGAACTCATTGGCAGTTTCTAAAAAATATGCTCTAAATAATTCGTTATCAATTTCGAAACCACTAGAGATAACTTGCAGAATGACGTGAAATCGATTTATAAGGCTTCCGGATACGCCTGTTATTGTGGCTGATGTTGTAGAATTTTCGAAAAAACGTCTTGCCATATTGCCGTCATTGGTACTTCCACAACCAGGCTTTGGACGATCGACTATTAATCCTAATTGTGTTTGAAATCCTCTTTGAATGATCGACTTACGTGTCTCGACAATTTCTCTTTCTTCGTCAGAATTTACTCGCCATTTTTTAATTGTAAGTTTGTACGATAAATGCAAACAGCATTCAAAAAGACGTATCCAGGCATGCAGTGTCGAAATTCCAAATCGGAGATTGCTTGTTTCTACTTTTCTTTGTAGCATCTTACGTATATCATTGAAGTCCTTGGATGTAGCATTGCATAAATAACATCGTAACGTTGATTTCGTTTCTGACACTGCATTACAAACCTTATTGTCAATCATCGTGAAATTCATGTTATATTGAACGCGGATCTCCATGCCATGTACTTGTGTCACAAGGGGATTAAGCGAATTTATTTGTTGTTCAATATCATTTACTTCATGAGCTGTTGTTTCAGCATTTTTGTGTTCAAATTGTAGTCTTATTGGTCTACAGAACCTAGGAGATGATGTTCTAGGATTCTGCCATATTACAAGATCCGTATCTAATTTTTCGTCTTTACAAACAAGTTGTAATGGCACAAATGACGTGAAGAACACATTTTCATCTGATATGCCGGCTTCGTTAAATTTCTGCTTATAAACACTGTGTCCAGAGCTTCCGTCACAACCCCACTTACAAGTAAGATGCAAATTTTTAATGTTTTCAATGCTCAAAGTACCAATAACTTCCCTTTGCAGTAATAAAATACGTTGTGCCGTGTGATCTAGTATACTTTGTAATTTTACTTCAGCATAATTCTCTTTGATCGTGATGTCAGTACGTGGTGGATAACAAAGTCTTTTAGATTTTACAACATTATTATAGGATGGATATAATTTACAGTTATTTTCTTTGCCTATGTTTCTAATACTTTGATACGTACGTTTTGAGAACTTGTGTTCAATTAGAACTGACAATGCTGCATCATTCGATAAAGTTTGTTCAACTTGAGATGTAGCAGCTTTCATATATTTAGTAGCTCTTGTTGGGCTTGTCAAAGTTACATCTTTTACAATTTTCGAAGCATTTAATTGTCCTGAAAAGCGAAGATTCATTTGAGTAGCGTAAGCTAATTCTTCAGTGGTGTTAGATGTGCGAAGTTCTTCTGTTTTTCTGCGCCTCGATCGGTCAGACGCATCAGAAAATGATAAAGATGGACGACCTGTTTTCGATTGCGTTGACAGAGATTCGTCTTTTATTATAAATTCTGCAGTGTTTAATAGCCAGTTGGCGTATTTTTTTTTGAAATTCTGCTCCGTTCTATTGCAGTTTTGCCATTTAATTCGGAGTGAATGGAAATATTTAGAAAATGCAGGCTTTTGATCTGCAAGAATACAAATGTTGCGCCCTAATTTCTCAGTCCATGCTGCTTCTAAAATTTCGATTTGTTCTGACACGCTATCCTTCATCTTTGTTTTCATAATATTAAATATTTCTTCGTTCGTGCATTTTATTACGTTTGTGTCGGATCCTGTACATAAAACAAATATGATTATAAATATTAATATTTTAATATTATTTATATATTACGCAGATTTATGTGTTACATATCTTGTTCCAGTTAAATGTCATCAATGTAATAATTTATAAAAATAATATTAGATATAACTAATTTATATTAATAATTAATTTATAATATTATTTATATAATTAAAATAATTGAGATTTTTCAAAGGCTTTGTTAATTATAAATAAAATTAGATAAGTCAAAGGCAAGAGCCACCATTTACAAACTATTTGCAAAAAAGAAAAAAAAACGAAAATTTTATATGTAATTACATTATACAATACAAACAAATTTAATATGTAATTCTATTATATTACACAATTTGATCGTCTATTATAATTACAAAATAAACGCTTATCATTAATTTAGTATAAATACGAAATATATTGTATATATTATCTACAACAAATTAATTAGTAAAAATATTAATCATTCTTTTAAACGTTTCGATCCTTTTTTCGGATCATCTTCAGTAGATATAAAATAAATTGTAATAATTGTGATGTTTATAAAATAAATTGTAATGATTGTGATGTTTCGTATGTGGGACAAATTAAAGAACACCGATCTGATGTTAATAAAAGATCTGGGCTGCCTTTAGTAATATCTACACATAAAATCACCACTAACCACGATAATATATATATTTTGTATTTATACTAGATTAATGATAAGCGATTATTTTGTAATTATAATAGGCGATCAATTTGTATAATATAATGGAATTACATATTAAATTTGTTTGTATTGTATAATGTAATTACATATTAAATTTTCGTTTTTTTTTCCTTTTTTGCAAACAATTTGTGAATGGTGGCTCTTGCCTTTGACTTATCTAATTTTATTTATATAATTATAAATTAATATTGTTATAAATTATTGTAATACTATAAAAACGAATGGTAATATAATAGCATTTGTAGTTACAAATTATAAATAAATGTATGTGGCAGAAAAATAGTTGTATTTCTACTAAACTTTTGGATGGTACTGTACTTTCTGGAGAATCTAAAGCCTTAGACACAATGCGAGATAATAGCAGACCCTTGGAACAAAAATTTTAACGGACAGAAAATGTACGGCGCGATTCACCTATATTAAAATGCTTGGCACAGCATTCGATACCGAAACAAATAACGCGTAACGCTTTACAAAACTTTATCGCATTTTTACACGGGCAGCTACGGGCAGCTAGAAATTGCACGATTCGAAAGAGGAAGGTTTAATTTAAAAGATTTTACCAATCCGACCTTGGAATGCGGTGGTATACATAACTATTTCGTTCGGTGAAAATTTAATTTCTCCAAAATACATTGTATTGTACAGACCAAAGTTCGATTTTAAAAAAACAACATATGTAACACATATTTATATAATATTATCGTTTTGTTTTGTTGTACATACCACCAGGAACACAATCCATTTTGCACGATTTAATTTGAACACTTTATCCTTGAAATATTAACGTTAGACCAGAGCGGTGAAATTTCGGTTAACTGCGACTGCCACAACTGTTCAGTGCGAAGGTCAACTTTGAACTGAGCTAGAGTTTTATGTACAGAAATGTGATCTTTGGTATTTCAGCATGAAGTGGGGGGTACAGTCCTCTACAAAATCCAATAGTCACATTTCATAAAATAAAAAATTTTTTTTTTACTTTTGGCCACGTTTTCGGGATTCTGGCCCACTGTGCGCTGGAGTGGAGGAGGCCACAGAACAGATCCGCACAGAGTCACCCCGATCCGGCTCGAAGGACCAAAATTTATGTTCGTGATTCGAGGATTTTCACTCGAATGTCGTGAACGCGTGCGGCGGGTTCCGCTCCGCGAGAACGCGGGATGAATGTGCGATAAGAGAGACGGCGGTATAGCGTTGAGAAGGAGCGAGAGAGACAGAGTGATAGAACGTTGAGAAGGAAAGAGAGAGACAGAATGATAGTGGACCGCGACCGCGAGACTGAAGATTGAAGACGGGAGCGAGCGAGAGGAACAGAGTTATAAATGCACCATGGTTGATTCAAATTAACAACACTGTCATTTATTCACTTTGTCCGAATTAAATATAATGATGCGAATCGTATCACGGACGCGACACTTAGATAGAGTTCCGCGTTCCCGTTACTAACGATAAGTCCGCCAAGTTGTTCGAATTCTCAAGGTGCGGACGCGATCTCGATCGTATGATTTCTCGTTGGCTTCTGACAAAGAGTCGGCGGGAACGCCGGTTCGCTCCTCAATTTGCCCATGCGAGAAGAAGCAAAAAAACAGTTTGACCGGGAAACACTTCAAGGTGTTTTCTGCGTGCGAAAGTCGTGATAGAACAATGAATAAACAAGAGACGTTGAAAACAAGTCGAAGGGTACTTTCGCGAACGAGAATCTGTCGACGAGAGTCATGCCAAAATATTTAATTTTTAAGACGATAATCACAAAGGACAGCCGTTACTGCGAGGCTGACACAAATAACGCGAGTAATTTAAAAATATTGACACAATAAGCAAGATCGAACGACTTGGCGGAACGACAATTTGAACGACATAAATTTACAGAATAGATAGACTCGAATTTAATAAAAGTGTTGACGGTCCTTAACATTAATAATATAAATAATGTTCAACATTGAGTTTTATACCAAAATTTTGCTCTGTGAAAGTAGAATTTATTAATTTTGATACTGATATTTTCAGCATAATAATCTTTAATACTTACGTTAAAAAGAAAATGAATGTACTACACAACCGTCTTGGAGTCGATACACACAAGAAATGCTCTACGGTTTTTTGCTAGCGTCTTTTTTTTCCTTAGAAACGATGAAAAAAGAAATATTTGTTTTTCCTTGAAAAACAATAGAAAGTTAAAAACAAATAAATATGAATAACTTTAATTGTAATTAATAAAATTAATAATAAATAATAATCCTTAAGGTTGCCAGTAATAATTAATAAAAAACCACTCCTCAATGTTTAAAGTCGACCAGACTGGCAATAATTTATTATAAATAATTATTTGAAATACAAAATTAATAATATAGAATTTAATTAATAATATTATTCCACATTAATATATTAAAATAATGAAAATAATGACACAGTTTCTCTATACCTATATATTTACATTATGTTTGTCCAAATTTTACGTTATATTCTTTATTTCTAAAAATATTTATAATAAGAAATTAGGCGCGGCTTTTTTTGTTACATAGAGTATTATTTTATAAATGCTAATAGGCACAATAAATAGTGGTAAACTTTGTATTAATAATTTAAATTTAATAATTGATTTTAATTAATATAACAAATAATTACATAAATGTTTTTAATGTAATATTTATTTTAATTTATAAATGTTTTATTATAATATTATATAAATATCTTACTTTTGTTTAAGTTATTATGTATATTTAAAAGCTCAATCATTCCAGGCAGCAATTTGAATGATAATTTCACTGTTGTTCATAATAAAATTATAAAGATGCGTTTCTATCATTCCTTTTGGTTTTCGGTTGATCTGATTTAAAATGTTGAACTGCTATAACCTGTTATTTTATAAAATAAATTAATTGTATTAATAAAATTTTGAAATATTTTGTTAATTAGGAATAAAATATCTAAATTGGTTAAAATTTATGATCATAAATTATTACTAAAATTTTAATATTATTATCAATAAGTATATAATGTATACATGTGTATAATATGTATGTAGTATAGGTAAAGTATGTGCATATGTTAGTGTGTGCGTGTGTGTGTACATGTGTGATTTGCGTGAGTATGTACACATGTATGTATATGCGTGCGTATGTATTTGTGTGTGTAAATTTAATTCTATAGTTATGATCAATGTTATAATTATTAATAAGCTGTAACTTACAAAATTATATCATTTTCTACAAGGTGCTCCAAAATTTCTTTGTAAACAAAATATTTTTAATTTTTTTTAGTTACTTACTTTAAAAATTAATGTTTTCTTCTAGAAAAAGAATCCTTAGAAATAATTTAAAAAAAAAAATATTTGTCTTTCCTGGAAAAAATCAAGGAAAAAAGATACTTAGAAACAAATAAATATTAATAAGTTTTTAATTTTAATTTTATTTTACTAAATTAAAGTAATATTTTTATTAAGAATTCTTAATTACAAACTTTATAAATAAATAACTATAGACTAATAAATAAATATTTAATAAATATAGTATTTATATTTATATGTATTGTGATATATAAATTAAAAAAAAAAATGTTATATAGTATTTTTACTTTTGTTTATGTATAATATTTACTTTAAATATTCTTTTTTGTTTAATATATTTCTTTTAGATTATAAATTTTAATTATACACTTCATAAGTTAAATCATATTTTAATTAAAAAATTTAAAACAAAATATTTAATAAATAATATTTAATAAAAAAGAAAGATATGAATAAAAAATAAAAATAAATCAATTTGTTTATTAAAAATAAAAAATTTCTATACTTACAAATTTAACAATTTATAATGTTTTGTAGGTTAAAGCTTTTGATTTAATCCTATAAATAAAATATTAAATTAATTAGTTTAATTTTATTCAAATAAAACTTTATATTATATTCAAAAATACGATCAATTAAAATTAATATCAATCAAAATTAATATTTGTCGCTAGTGGTGAAAATAAGCTTAAACGACTTGACTACGACGTAACTAGCAATTTTATTTGATTATTTCACGACGTTTCGACCATTTGGTTGTGGTCCTTTTCAAGTGAAATTTCTACAACATAATGTTACACAATATTTTTTAACATACGAAAACTCATTTAAGTGTTAAATTAATAAAATAAGTATAAATTTTATAAACATACCATCAATTAAACCGAGGTTAACATAACATCACACCGGTGTTATTTGAAATCGAAAGTTAAACGTTAAAAGAGGAACACGTCCCATCGTTATGATGTTAAAAGTTAAAAATTAAAAGAGGAACACGTCCCATCGTTATGATGTTTCGTCAACGACTAAACTTGAAACGCGCCACTAAACAATCTTTATTATTTTGTCGTAAATGTTTGTCAAATTCTCGGTGTCTTTCTGTAGGTTAACTGTATTGCCATGCTTCTTTATGAAGAACATTTCAGCAATCTCTCTCTTTCTTACATGTTTCTCGTTATGTAAAATTGTCGGTGATTTCCAATCAAAGTTATGCCCAAAATCACATCTGTGTTTGCTCAAAACCGAATGATTAGACTCATGTAATTTAATATTGCTGGCATGTTCCTTCACTCTAGTGCATAAATGTCTTTTTGTTTGTCCAATGTATGATGCATTACAATTTTCACAGTTAATCTTGTAAACTACATTCGTTTTAATATCATTAGTTATTAAATCTTTACCTCGTTTTATCAGCCTATTCAACTTTTTTGGCAAACTATAAACGACATTTATGTTAGCACTATTAAGTGACCTTTTAATACTGTCGCTAACGTCTTTAACGTATGGGAGTGGAATTACATAATTCTTATCTTGAGCCGAATTCACATTAACGTTATTATCTAAATCGTTACTCAAACTGTCGTTATTATCCGCATTGTGACCGTTACCATTCCTGTTGTTCTTCAGTACATTAATTCTTTTATTTACATACTTATTAATAATATGATCCGGAAAACAATTATTAATTAAAATGTTCTTTACAATCTCAATATTCGTATTATGAAATTGTTCGTTAGAAAGTAAAATTGCATGGTCTACTAAATTGTAAATCGTATTAATTTTGTACTTAATAGGATGACTCGAAAGAAAATTGATGTATCTGCCAGAACATGTAGGTTTCCTAAACCAATTAGTTGTCAATTTATTCCCATTGCGGATAACTGTAGAATTTAAAAAATTAATAGAAGAATTGGTCTCTATTTCATGTGTGAATTTTAAACGTTCATGATAATTATTAAATGTACTTAAAATTTTATTTATTTTAGAGTTAGGAAAATAACAAAAATGTCGTCCACATATCTATAAAAAGTCTGAACTTTAAAACTTAAAGAATTTAAACAATTTGTTTCCAAGTCATCCATTACTAAGTCAGCTAGTATCGGTGATAGAGGGGATCCCATAGGGCTTCCATAAATTTGTTCATAATACTGCTCGTTAAATTGAAAACTCGTTGAAGTAAGTATTACATCAACAGCGTATAGGAACTGTTGCAAATTAAATTTAGTTTTTAGACTTATGTCACTCCAACGACCCTCAATTGCAGAAAAAACTAAATCTTTTGGAATATTTATAAACAACGAACAAACATCTAAGGAAATCATTACGTCATCGTCATTAACCATTGTATTTTTAATAGTATTCACAAAAGTCCAAACATCCTTAACATTAGAATCCGGTTTCTTAACAGACTTAACTAATATCTCATGAATGTAACTGGCAATATTATAAAAGGGACTGCCTAACGATGACACAATGATCCTCAATGGATACCCGCTCTTATGGATCTTCGGGAGTCCATAACACCGTGGTAAATTACCATTTGTGCAATTCAGAAATTTATATGTTTGATCATCAATGATCTCATTATTATGCCATGACTTTACTAACGTATGAAGTTTGTTCGTCAGACGTGTAATCGGATTTTTATTTAATTTTTTGTATGTCATCGAATCACTTAACAATAATTCCATATTAGTCACATAATCATTTCTATTCATAACCACTGTCACTTGTCCTTTGTCAGCTTTGGTAACAATTAAATCTTTATTGTTCTGCAGATATTTATTAGAAATATTAAACGCATCATGAATAAATGTCACTATAATTGATATGTTTACTTTTAGACAGAAATTTTTGTAGTGAATTGGCAATGGATATTCTAGTTGTTTCCAAAGCATCCTCAGGAACATAACGACAATTCGATTCAAAATTCTTTATCACCTCAACAGTATAATTTAGTCGATCGTTCTTATTTGAGCAATGAATCGGTAAGGCAAACGTATCGCCTAAACTTAAGAGTTTAGATACAGTATCAGGTAACACTTTAGAGCTGATATTTATTAACCAGTTGGAATTGTCGATGTTTTCCAACGGATTTGACAATACCATATATTTCTGTTTTATCCTATCAAACTTTTTTATCATCCTACTTTTTATTCTATAATTAAAGTTATTTAGTCGTTGTTTACTTAAACGAAAAAACTGATTTACCACGTTATTAGGTAAAGAATCAAACAATTTTTTCACTATATTAGAGATCTTACACCGAATGAAATTTAGGTTTGTGTTCAAATCTTTAATCTCCAAATTCAACAATCTAACTTGATTATTCTTAACTATAGTTTTAAACCTTCGTTTCGCATAGGCACTGTAAAAACTAATTTCAGTCTTTAGGTTCTTGATGTGTGACGGCACAATGTCATATCTTCGACATCGGAGTAAAAATTTTAGTTGGTGGTTACAAGCATAAAAATTCTTCTTGCATTTAATCCATGACTTAAACAAATAGGCGGTCTCGTTATTATATTGTTCAGAGATGTGTTGGAAAAAACAATCCTTCCGTACGTGCTCCATATTTCAGTCCAAGAGCAAAAATACGATCAATTAAAATTAATATCAATCAAAATTAATATTTGTCGCTAGTGGTGAAAATAAGCTTAAACGACTTGACTACGACGTAACTAGCAATTTTATTTGATTATTTCACGACGTTTCGACCATTTGGTTGTGGTCCTTTTCAAGTGAAATTTCTACAACATAATGTTACACAATATTTTTTAACATACGAAAACTCATTTAAGTGTTAAATTAATAAAATAAGTATAAATTTTATAAACATACCATCAATTAAACCGAGGTTAACATAACATCACACCGGTGTTATTTGAAATCGAAAGTTAAACGTTAAAAGAGGAACACGTCCCATCGTTATGATGTTAAAAGTTAAAAATTAAAAGAGGAACACGTCCCATCGTTATGATGTTTCGTCAACGACTAAACTTGAAACGCGCCACTAAACAATCTTTATTATTTTGTCGTAAATGTTTGTCAAATTCTCGGTGTCTTTCTGTAGGTTAACTGTATTGCCATGCTTCTTTATGAAGAACATTTCAGCAATCTCTCTCTTTCTTACATGTTTCTCGTTATGTAAAATTGTCGGTGATTTCCAATCAAAGTTATGCCCAAAATCACATCTGTGTTTGCTCAAAACCGAATGATTAGACTCATGTAATTTAATATTGCTGGCATGTTCCTTCACTCTAGTGCATAAATGTCTTTTTGTTTGTCCAATGTATGATGCATTACAATTTTCACAGTTAATCTTGTAAACTACATTCGTTTTAATATCATTAGTTATTAAATCTTTACCTCGAGCCGAATTCACATTAACGTTATTATCTAAATCGTTACTCAAACTGTCGTTATTATCCGCATTGTGACCGTTACCATTCCTGTTGTTCTTCAGTACATTAATTCTTTTATTTACATACTTATTAATAATATGATCCGGAAAACAATTATTAATTAAAATGTTCTTTACAATCTTACAAATTGACAACTAATTGGTTTAGGAAACCTACATGTTCTGGCAGATACATCAATTTTCTTTCGAGTCATCCTATTAAGTACAAAATTAATACGATTTACAATTTAGTAGACCATGCAATTTTACTTTCTAACGAACAATTTCATAATACGAATATTGAGATTGTAAAGAACATTTTAATTAATAATTGTTTTCCGGATCATATTATTAATAAGTATGTAAATAAAAGAATTAATGTACTGAAGAACAACAGGAATGGTAACGGTCACAATGCGGATAATAACGACAGTTTGAGTAACGATTTAGATAATAACGTTAATGTGAATTCGGCTCAAGATAAGAATTATGTAATTCCACTCCCATACGTTAAAGACGTTAGCGACAGTATTAAAAGGTCACTTAATAGTGCTAACATAAATGTCGTTTATAGTTTGCCAAAAAAGTTGAATAGGCTGATAAAACGAGGTAAAGATTTAATAACTAATGATATTAAAACGAATGTAGTTTACAAGATTAACTGTGAAAATTGTAATGCATCATACATTGGACAAACAAAAAGACATTTATGCACTAGAGTGAAGGAACATGCCAGCAATATTAAATTACATGAGTCTAATCATTCGGTTTTGAGCAAACACAGATGTGATTTTGGGCATAACTTTGATTGGAAATCACCGACAATTTTACATAACGAGAAACATGTAAGAAAGAGAGAGATTGCTGAAATGTTCTTCATAAAGAAGCATGGCAATACAGTTAACCTACAGAAAGACACCGAGAATTTGACAAACATTTACGACAAAATAATAAAGATTGTTTAGTGGCGCGTTTCAAGTTTAGTCGTTGACGAAACATCATAACGATGGGACGTGTTCCTCTTTTAATTTTTAACTTTTAACATCATAACGATGGGACGTGTTCCTCTTTTAACGTTTAACTTTCGATTTCAAATAACACCGGTGTGATGTTATGTTAACCTCGGTTTAATTGATGGTATGTTTATAAAATTTATACTTATTTTATTAATTTAACACTTAAATGAGTTTTCGTATGTTAAAAAATATTGTGTAACATTATGTTGTAGAAATTTCACTTGAAAAGGACCACAACCAAATGGTCGAAACGTCGTGAAATAATCAAATAAAATTGCTAGTTACGTCGTAGTCAAGTCGTTTAAGCTTATTTTCACCACTAGCGACAAATATTAATTTTGATTGATATTAATTTTAATTGATCGTATTTTTGCTCTTGGACTGAAATATGGAGCACGTACGGAAGGATTGTTTTTTCCAACACATCTCTGAACAATATAATAACGAGACCGCCTATTTGTTTAAGTCATGGATTAAATGCAAGAAGAATTTTTATGCTTGTAACCACCAACTAAAATTTTTACTCCGATGTCGAAGATATGACATTGTGCCGTCACACATCAAGAACCTAAAGACTGAAATTAGTTTTTACAGTGCCTATGCGAAACGAAGGTTTAAAACTATAGTTAAGAATAATCAAGTTAGATTGTTGAATTTGGAGATTAAAGATTTGAACACAAACCTAAATTTCATTCGGTGTAAGATCTCTAATATAGTGAAAAAATTGTTTGATTCTTTACCTAATAACGTGGTAAATCAGTTTTTTCGTTTAAGTAAACAACGACTAAATAACTTTAATTATAGAATAAAAAGTAGGATGATAAAAAAGTTTGATAGGATAAAACAGAAATATATGGTATTGTCAAATCCGTTGGAAAACATCGACAATTCCAACTGGTTAATAAATATCAGCTCTAAAGTGTTACCTGATACTGTATCTAAACTCTTAAGTTTAGGCGATACGTTTGCCTTACCGATTCATTGCTCAAATAAGAACGATCGACTAAATTATACTGTTGAGGTGATAAAGAATTTTGAATCGAATTGTCGTTATGTTCCTGAGGATGCTTTGGAAACAACTAGAATATCCATTGCCAATTCACTACAAAAATTTCTGTCTAAAAGTAAACATATCAATTATAGTGACAGATTTATTCATGATGCGTTTAATATTTCTAATAAATATCTGCAGAACAATAAAGATTTAATTGTTACCAAAGCTGACAAAGGACAAGTGACAGTGGTTATGAATAGAAATGATTATGTGACTAATATGGAATTATTGTTAAGTGATTCGATGACATACAAAAAATTAAATAAAAATCCGATTACACGTCTGACGAACAAACTTCATACGTTAGTAAAGTCATGGCATAATAATGAGATCATTGATGATCAAACATATAAATTTCTGAATTGCACAAATGGTAATTTACCACGGTGTTATGGACTCCCGAAGATCCATAAGAGCGGGTATCCATTGAGGATCATTGTGTCATCGTTAGGCAGTCCCTTTTATAATATTGCCAGTTACATTCATGAGATATTAGTTAAGTCTGTTAAGAAACCGGATTCTAATGTTAAGGATGTTTGGACTTTTGTGAATACTATTAAAAATACAATGGTTAATGACGATGACGTAATGATTTCCTTAGATGTTTGTTCGTTGTTTACAAATATTCCAAAAGATTTAGTTTTTTCTGCAATTGAGGGTCGTTGGAGTGACATAAGTCTAAAAACTAAATTTAATTTGCAACAGTTCCTATACGCTGTTGATGTAATACTTACTTCAACGAGTTTTCAATTTAACGAGCAGTATTATGAACAAATTTATGGAAGCCCTATGGGATCCCCTCTATCACCGATACTAGCTGACTTAGTAATGGATGACTTGGAAACAAATTGTTTAAATTCTTTAAGTTTTAAAGTTCAGACTTTTTATAGATATGTGGACGACATTTTTGTTATTTTACCTAACTCTAAAATAAATAAATTTTAAGTACATTTAATAATTATCATGAACGTTTAAAATTCACACATGAAATAGAGACCAATTCTTCTATTAATTTTTTAAATTCTACAGTTATCCGCAATGGGAATAAATTGACAACTAATTGGTTTAGGAAACCTACATGTTCTGGCAGATACATCAATTTTCTTTCGAGTCATCCTATTAAGTACAAAATTAATACGATTTACAATTTAGTAGACCATGCAATTTTACTTTCTAACGAACAATTTCATAATACGAATATTGAGATTGTAAAGAACATTTTAATTAATAATTGTTTTCCGGATCATATTATTAATAAGTATGTAAATAAAAGAATTAATGTACTGAAGAACAACAGGAATGGTAACGGTCACAATGCGGATAATAACGACAGTTTGAGTAACGATTTAGATAATAACGTTAATGTGAATTCGGCTCAAGATAAGAATTATGTAATTCCACTCCCATACGTTAAAGACGTTAGCGACAGTATTAAAAGGTCACTTAATAGTGCTAACATAAATGTCGTTTATAGTTTGCCAAAAAAGTTGAATAGGCTGATAAAACGAGGTAAAGATTTAATAACTAATGATATTAAAACGAATGTAGTTTACAAGATTAACTGTGAAAATTGTAATGCATCATACATTGGACAAACAAAAAGACATTTATGCACTAGAGTGAAGGAACATGCCAGCAATATTAAATTACATGAGTCTAATCATTCGGTTTTGAGCAAACACAGATGTGATTTTGGGCATAACTTTGATTGGAAATCACCGACAATTTTACATAACGAGAAACATGTAAGAAAGAGAGAGATTGCTGAAATGTTCTTCATAAAGAAGCATGGCAATACAGTTAACCTACAGAAAGACACCGAGAATTTGACAAACATTTACGACAAAATAATAAAGATTGTTTAGTGGCGCGTTTCAAGTTTAGTCGTTGACGAAACATCATAACGATGGGACGTGTTCCTCTTTTAATTTTTAACTTTTAACATCATAACGATGGGACGTGTTCCTCTTTTAACGTTTAACTTTCGATTTCAAATAACACCGGTGTGATGTTATGTTAACCTCGGTTTAATTGATGGTATGTTTATAAAATTTATACTTATTTTATTAATTTAACACTTAAATGAGTTTTCGTATGTTAAAAAATATTGTGTAACATTATGTTGTAGAAATTTCACTTGAAAAGGACCACAACCAAATGGTCGAAACGTCGTGAAATAATCAAATAAAATTGCTAGTTACGTCGTAGTCAAGTCGTTTAAGCTTATATTCAAAAGTTATAGATTAGACCAATGCTTAAATTTTTATTTTATTTTGTTTTGAATAAAAAGTTTACCATTTCTGAATCATTATTGAACTTTCTTTTTCTGGGGAGAAATGCTGCTTTCGCAAGATCTTCATCGGATATGGTACCCGGTATAATTTTGACATTTGAGACATTCTCAATCAACAAGATATTATATATATATATATATATATATATATAATATATATATATATACAGAGTGTAATTGAAATAACATATATGATAGTGTTAGATTCTCTGGCCAATTTAGAAACGATTTTTCCTCAGTGAAGATGTTGAGAAAGGTCATCAATTTTTACAAACTTCCAATTTTTATTATTATATATCTTTGCAACTAAGCTTTAAATTAAAATTTTATTAAAGTAAACTCCACTTGAAATTAACTGAAGAATATAATTATGTTAACCATTTAACTCTACAAAGTTTAGTTTGCGAGAAACTCGTTTTTTTCAATCGCTTTAACTCGAAAATTATCGACTTCTCAACATTTTCGCTGAGGAAAAATGATTTCCAAATTGGCCAGAGAATTCGGTATTATATGTCATATATGTTTATTTAGTTACACCCAGTATATATATATATATATATATATATATATACAGGGTGTAACTAAATAAATCACACGCACACGTACTTACGAGTATGCGCGCGCGCGCACACGCACACTTATACACACATACACATGTTTATATATATATATATATAAACATGTATATGTGTGTATAAGTGTGCGTATAAGTGCGCGCGCGCGCGCGCATACTCGTAAGTACGTGTGCGTGTGCGTGTGCGTGCGTGTGTGTGTGTGTGTGTGCGCGCGCGTGTGCGTGTGCGTGTGTGTGTGTATGTGTATAAATTGAAAGGATTCTATCAGGTATAGATGAAATTTAAATAGTTACTTTATTGCCAAAAATTAATTTTTATTAATTTATTTTTATGAGAAAAATTTTTATTATATTGTAAAATTAATAAAAAAAACTTGATTTTATATCGTGAAATTAATAAAAAACTTGGTGGAAATATATTAATTCAAACTTCATGTATGTATATATACGTATATAATTTCAAATAAAGAGTATATGTATAATTACCATATTGAGTTTTAGAATTTAAAATGTTTTGAATAGTAACTGGTTCATAAATTTTAGTTTCCTCATATTCTCGAATTTTTCCAATGACATTCACAACTGTATAATCTTTGATAGTTAAATCCATAGGGACATTTCCTAAACTCTTAGAATAACGTTTTTGAGAAAAAGCTCCGGATACATGTACCACCTATATACATATAAAAAATATAATTATTAATTTTATAAAATACTTATTAATTATGAAATTTATTATTAAAAATGTTCATCAATAGAAAAGTTTAAATTTTGCAACAATTGTTGTAAGATGACTTTGAAACATATTTGCTAAAAAGAATTTTCTAAAATTATAAGTTATAAATATTGTAATAAGAAATGTTTTTATGTATACATACATACATACATTTTAAAATTATTTATAATGAAATAAATAATAAGATAAATATTTAACAAAAGTCAATTTCTTTTACAATATTTATAACTTATAATTAGAAAATGATTTTTTAACAAAAAATGTGTTTTGTAAAGTCATTTTACATTATTTATTATAAAACTTAAACTTTCCTATATGAGTTTTTTATATTCAAGATAAAAACATAAATTTACATTAAAAAATTTGTTATCAAAATTAATTGATCAATTGTAAATAATTTTTTTAAATTATAAAATTGATTTTTTATTTGTAATATTTTACTAACAGTAAATTAACATTATTTCTAAATGTTAAAATTTAGTTTTGTTATTAATTTTTATTATTAATGATTTTTATTGAAAAAAAACATTTTTTATAGAATATTTTTATTAATAATTTTATCTCAATTTTTTATAGAATTGACATCATAAAATTAATTATTTATTTTATTGTAAGATTATTTATAAATTATGTTGATTTTTACATTTTATAATTATTTATAAAAAGATTTTTTAAGAACAGTTAATATTTTATGTAATAACAAATATATAAAATAATGTCTTAATTTATGTTGTAAACATTTGTAATAAAATGATTTTAATTTTGTGATAAAAACTTACAAATGATGTTTTAAAGTTATGTATAACTCGATTTATGTTATTGCCCCATATAGTAACTTGAACCTTCCAGTCTTTATTATTTGTCAAAATTACTCGACAACGTTGAACTTCACCATTTTTAGTTTTAACAGCAATTGTACTGTCGATTTGTTCCATCATACTGATAAAACACCTTAAAAATATATATATATATAAACAATTAATATTTTATATTTATTAAAAAAATAAAAAAATAATTAAAAGTTCAATAAAATTTTTAATAAATGTATCTTTTATACATCAATTACATTTATATGATTTTATGCTACTATTATATAGTTTTATTCTTAAACTGACAGAATTTTACAAATTTGACGATAATACTGAAATAGTGAGAATAAGTAATTTATGAATAAAAAATTAAATATTAAAAAATTTTTAAAACTTACACTGTACCATCATTAGGTAACATAACTTCGAAAAGTTCTCTTGGTGAAACATATAATGTTGGATTATCACACAACTCACGATAAATGTCTGATTCGCTATCCATTTTCTTTGTAGCTTTATCCTAGAATTTTTAAATAAAAAATATTTCAATGTAACGTACACACGCAATTTTAAAATAAAAATATAAATAGCAACTAAAATTTAATATTATATAGTAAGAATATATATTTATAAGAATATATTATTATTAAGACAAATAATATAAATATTTTTAACAAAAATCAATTGGAATATAAATAATTGTAAAATAATTTTTTGTAATAGTTTATATTAGCAAATATATAAATGTTTAGTTGTAATTAATATAAGTTGTAAATAATTAATATAAGTTGTCATTAATATATGTAACAAATATTTAGCGAAAATTTTTTTGAAATATCATAATTAAGTGACTATAAGACGAAATATACAATATATGTATACAATATTTTAATTGTAAGATAGATTTAAGCACATATTTAATTATAAGTTATATAATTGTAATTAGTATAAATAAATTATTCATATAACTTCATATATATTTACCGTTTAGTTTAATAAATCACAAAGAATCAAATTTATATAATAATTATAATAATATTTCAATTTTATGCACAATTAATAATACTAAATGAATTATACGATGTCTGTTACTTTTAACGATGATGTTACCATCATTACGTAGCGATGTACATGTTAAAATATATGCGTAATGACATTACCATGATACAATGTTACATAGCAACCATCGTTATTAGGACTAAAGGATATCGCACACAAATTACATAAGCTGCATATGCATAGCATAAGACCTTATGGACCAATGAGCATCAAGCATTGAATCACATGCTCGATGTTCATTGGTCCATAAGGTCTTATGCTATGCATATGCAGTTTATGCAATTTGTGTGCGATAGCATTAAAGGCCGCCGCACACACTTTTGCATGACATATAATGTAAGTGTATAAAGAATTTGATTGGTTGAATTTTATTATGCATGTGCTGATGGACCAATAAAATGTCTAGATTCGAAAATTTTTCTATGCTACAGCCAATTAATACGTTTGAAAAATTTATTCTACGACAAATGTAATATCAACTGAACATGTCAACTTATTGCACAATAAAATTTTTAGTTTTAAAGATTGGTAGCAATTGATTTGAAAATAAATAGTAGGTACACTACATACTCTAATTGTGTGTGACAACTTAAAAGGTTATAGATATCGTTACACCTTAAAAGAATTCTTAAAAATTCTTGAAAATTTCTCGTCGAGCAGCAAAGAAATTATTTGTTTCAATAATATATGAAGTGACAGATATAATAACAATAAGGTAAATTATTTTGAAATATAATATATCATAAGATCATTAAAGAAAATACAAAATCGCATTTAAAAATATAAATACTGTTATATTCTAATAATTGATTATGTAAATATATAACTTTAAAATACATATGCTGAGTATTGGAAAATTTAAATATATTTAAAGTATATATATATATATATATATATATATATATATATATATATATATATATATATATATATATATATATATATGTAAATATATGAGGTATTCCATTTCAAATCGTGCGTGCATGCGTGCGTGCGTGTGTACGTGTATAGTTTATATATATAAAACCAGTATTGAACAATGTATATAAATTTTATATAAATTTAATATTGTATGTAGTTTTTAAAAAATTTATGTAAAATTTATATTAATTAGTTTGTATAAAATTTATACAAGATATAGTATAAAAAGGATGGGATCGGTAAAATTATATATATATAGTTGTCTTAAAGAAAAAACTATATTTTATTTACATTAATTGATTTGTCTCATGTGCATAAAATATTAAGTATACGATGTATATAATATTATGTATATATAAAATGTTAAAATTACACAAAATTAAACATTTCACGAGATATTTTGTAATTTATGTCAAAATACTGTTTAAAATATTATAACTAAAAAAAGTATTTAATAAAAAAATATTTTTTTGTAATATTTTGAAAAGCTCTCGAGATAAGGTATAGAAAAATATCAAATAAAAATGTGGGTTTTCATTTAAAATTTTAAAGTTGACTTTGAGATTTTCTTTATAACTACACTTAAGATCAAATGTGTATTACCATTTCATATATTTTTTATATAATATATTTGTTACTATATTCTTGAAAAGAAATGATATCACTGCCAAAATATTTGCTGAAAATACAAAATAATATCAATTGATAATATATAATATATACCTATTAAATACATTGTCATATACATATAGATAATATAAAAATTTATTTGTTTTAAAGATAAAATAATAATTTTAAATAGTTTTATGTGTTAATATAATTTTAATTTTTTTTTACAGTGGATTGATATTTGATTTTTATCGTTGAATATATATGATTCAACTGAATATATATGAGCAAAATATAGCATATTCAGGTATTATTTTATTTTTTATTTGAATTAATAATAAATATTTCACATAATAAGATAAATATATATAAATAATAAATAAGCTAATATATATAAATAATAAATAAGCTAATATATGTAAATAATAAATAAGCTAATAAAAATATTTTGTTTCAGGTTTGGTAGCCACTTATATTTTTTGGCTAAAACAAAGCTCCAATCCAGCTTTTGTAATTTGACAATTGGACATAATTGTGAAAATTTAGATAAAAATTTGACATAAATATTTGACATTATAGTTGTAACACTACAAGTATTATTTGATATTTTAATTGTTGATATTTGAAATTTGTAAGAAATTAATGAATGTTTGATTTACATTTAAATATTTTATTATCAAGAACACTATACATATACTTGTTACATAACAATTATATTCGCTATATAAAATTAAATTAAATTTTTATTTGAATGTTAAATTAATATTATCGTGTTATAGTTATTTATTATTAAATTGATATTTAATGTAAGTGCAATATTGAAATTTATAATTTAACAACTGTGTAAAATAAAAACAGTTATTTTATGTAATATTTTATTTAATTTTAAATCATCAGTGTGCTATTTTCATTTAAATAAAATTTAATAAAATTATATAATAGTCTGTTATTTAATTTATTAACTACAAATTTATTAACTAAAAATTAATTTAAAATTTATATAAACAAATATTTTGTTTGTATATACATTTATATTCGTTACATTTTATAATATTTAAATTTTATTGATCTGTGTAAACATTTAACAAAAAAGATTTAATTAAAATAATTTAAAAATGGGTAAACGTAAAGCTATTCGTACTCGAGAGGAAGAAGAAGAATTTCAGCGATTAAAGAGAGAACGAAAGGCTTTAAATCAACAAAAATACCGCGAGAGAAAAAAAGAAAATGCAACAAACAATATAACTGAGTCATCTAAAGTTTGTGAATCAAGAAATTTATTAAATAATAGTTTATCAGTTGCAGTGTCTAAATCGCAAAATCCTTTGGTCACAAACAATATTTATCTTGCTTCATCAGTAATAAAATGTGTTATTACAACGTCGACTTTGAGCAATTCTGTTACTACAATTAACAACTGCATATCAAAGTTATCGAGCAATAGTTCTTTGATAACTTCAAATTCAAAACTTGATAACGATAATGTTAATATAATTAAAAAAACTGTCAACCATGAACAAAGTACACTTACAAGTGTTGAAAATACTACAGATTCAAGTCAATTAATTTCAGTAAATATAAATGATAATTTTTCCGAAATTGATAATATACAATTACAAAATATCACAGATAAAAGAAAAATGCAAAATTGTCGAGCCAATTATAAAGGATTTCAAAACATAAATTATCATAATATAAATCAACATTACATAGGAAAAATGGAAGTAGAGTGCAAATATTGTAAAGCAAAACATTTTCACGCTGAAAAAGTTTATAATAAATGTAATTCATTCAATGATTGTTGTAGTCATGGAAAAGTTATATTGGAATCTCTATCACCATTTCCTGATGAACTACAACAGTTATTTTTTGGAAATCATAAAAAATCTAAAGAGTTTTTTAAAAATCTGCGAAGTTATAATAGTGCATTTTCTTTTGTCTCTTTTAATGCTAACTTGGTTAATTTTAATGCACAAAGACGAAGTCCTTATTGCTTCAAAATTCAAGGTCAAATTTATTATCAAATTAATACTGCATTATATCCTGCTGCACAAGAACAATCAAGTTATTGACAGCTTTTCATTCTTGACGCTAACGAAGCTACAGAATGTCGTTTAAATGTAAATACAAATCTTGATGAAGAGTTATTACATACATTAGATGGTATTATTCGCAGCAATAATATGTTTGCTCAGTCATATCAAATGATGCATGAAGAAGTTTGTAATCAAGAAAATTCAGGTTTAAATGTGCCTAATTTAAAAATGGCATTCTTAAATAAGAAAACAGGTATTGATCGCGGAAGATATAATATTCAAAGAACTAACGAAGTTGCTGCAATTTTTTCAACTACTGCAGATGGAGATATTCCTGATTGTTATGTTACAATTAGAAACAAACGTGATAAAACTTTAAAATACGTTAGTACAATGGATCCAAACGTTGAACCTTGGATTTATCCAATGTATTATCCACATGGTACGCCAGGTTGGCACGATAATATTAAACAAATTAATGGAAAACGTGTAACTAGATCTATGTACATTCAATATCGAATAGCTATTCGTGACAATACTAATATTTTTTTAATGGGTAAACGATTATTTCAACAATGGCTTGTTGACAATTATGTAAAAATAGAAAAAGACAGAATTAACTGGTGTAAAGAAAATCAAAAACAGTTGAGAGTGGAAAAGCATCAGGGACTAATCGATTATTTAGAAAAAAAAGCGACTGATGCTAATGCTCGTGTTGGACGAATAATGATACTTCCATCAACATTTATTGGTTCACCTCGAAATATGATGCAAAATTATCAAGATGCGATGGCTATTGTTCGTAAATATGGTAAACCAGATGTTTTTATTACAATGACTTGTAATCCAAATTGGCTCGAAATTAAAGAAAATTTACTTTCAAATCAACAACCTGCTGATAGACCTGATATTTGTGCTAGAGTATTTGATATAAAAAAAAATT